TGAGATCAAGAATGGGGCTCGGCCCTGCAAAAGGCAAGAAAAGCACCTGTCAGGCACAAGAATACATGCTGACAAGGAGAGACAGAAAAACCACAGGCACACCACTCGTTCGCTCTCTTCACACCAGTCATTACGCAGAGGCCAGGAGCGCCCCAACAGCGTCACCAGGCTGCTCTTGGAGGCTGTTGGCAACAACAGGCAGGTGAGGAAAAAGGGAAGAGGAGGTGTCACGAGTGGGGTTCACCTCCCTTTGACACTCCACAGCAGGAGCACAGGGCCCCAGGCCAGTGCTGCTGCTGTTGGGACCCAGCGAGGTGGCCAGGCGGCAGAAAAGCGTGGAGGCAAGACTACTTTCTTCGGTTTGGTTTTTTGGGTTTTTTTTAGATCTGGGCTAGGTTTCTTCTGCATATTAACAACTCATCCTTGGCAGGGAGCTCGCATCCAGCTTCCTGACCAAACACATCACCTTTGCACGCAACAATGCTAAATTCTGATCCTCCTGCAGGCAGGCACAGCCCTGTGCTGTACAGCAACACACAGGCCACCACACACATGGGTGGGAGGGACCAAGACTTACTGGTATACAGGCTTATGGGCACTCCCTCTCCTTCTGTCTGAGCATCAGCCGCCACTGCAAATACTGTGAACGTGTACAACGTCCCAGGCTGTAAGTCGGCAATTTCAGCTCTGGTGACATTGGACGTCAGGTTCCTATCTGCAGTACCATCACTTTTAATCTCTATCCTGTACGTGTAGGAGTTCGAAGCAGCGTCGTTCACTGTCCACGTTAAGTTGACGTAACTGAGACCAACATACTCGGCCTTGAGATCAAGAATGGGGCTCGGCCCTGCAAAAGGCAAGACAAGAAGCTGTCACAGCAAACAAACCCAGAAGGAAGAAGCAGCATAGCTATATTTCCCTGTCTCACATAGAATGAGCACCAACTGCAGCCAAGTGGCACTTCTATGGTACTAATGCCCCTTTTCGGACTTTCATACCGGGGCACCTCTAGGAAACCCACAGGAAAGTTTTGGGAGATTCTCTTTATCTCATTTCATATGCCAAAAATATTTGTTGCCACAAGGCCTTCCAAAACAGAGAAATAGCTAGAAGTCTGAGATGAAAACAGAGTGCAGCATGGTCTCTGTTAACTCCAACTGTACTTTCAAGAGTCTGTATCAATCTTGGAGCCCAGACTCTCTCCAATTCCAGCTGAAAGAAATGCGTTCTAGCAGCAGGCTCAGCAGCTAACCCATGCCAGGGGCTGCGTCTGCACAGCCTGATTCAGCAGAAATGCCAGGCAGATGGGACTGGCCTCGGGTATTTTAGTCAAGCTGCCCTACTCAGTAACTGCTCCAAGACACTCCACTTCTACCTGCTTTGTAGGGACATTGCCTGCCCTTTCCAGTCCGGAGCTAAACACAAAACAGGGCTCTTCCTCCTCCATCTGCCCCTTGGATCTGGGGGGAAGGATGCCACAGCACAAAGTGGGCAGAACTGGCACCACACCTGATAATGCGCCCCCGGATGCCGTCACAGGCCCCAGCAGCCGCAGGCCAGTCATTCTGCTTTTCCGTCGTGCAGAGAGCTTAACACACTTTTAGAGAACAAAAAGTCTCTGTGATCCCAGCCATGGGGTCCCTGCATACCACAGCCTTTGGAAAAACCCTACAAGAGCCTGCTCCAAGAAGAGGGGTAGGGAACCCATCAAGCCCTGACGTCCAGAGGAAGTCAAGTCATTGTAGGACCTGGATAACTACATACCTCATCGGCTTTGCCTTTGGAGACTAACTGCTCCACACACACTGCACACAACGAATCTCACTTCTTTTCCCTTTTACCAAAGCCAGCGTGACATTCAGTGCCAACTAGCTCCTGGAGCAAGGAACCCACAATATAAACTACCACTGTGCTGGAAGCTTAAGATAAAGAAACAGGGCCTTTTGGTACAGACTGCATGTTTACTTGAACATAAGGGGCCTAAGTGGTTCCTTACTTGTATACAGGCTTATGGGCACTCCCTCTCCTTCTGTCTGAGCATCAGCCGCCACTGCAAATACTGTGAACGTGTACAACGTCCCAGGCTGTAAGTCGGCAATTTCAGCTCTGGTGACATTGGACGTCAGGTTCCTA